TCTCATGCCGAAAATCATTTACGGCTTATACGTAATGCCGAATTTGCCGTAATTATGGAATTCCGACGACAAGTATACTCAAAACTATTTTTCACTATCATTAAAAAATTTTTTATACTAAGAAATATCTTCTTAAAATTGAATGATTAATGCCACCATTAAGAAAAAGTCAAATGATTAAACTAAAACAAGATTAGTTATAAATATAACTTACTAAAATAAACTTGTCAATTAATGATATATATTTATTTTTTATTAATTCAGAAACATTATATTAATATTAAGCATGCTATACATTTAAACAATGTATATGATTGATTTATGAACTGTTAATTCGGATATCTTTACTGTGAATTAGAATATTTATTATTTTTTTTCGTGATTAATGTTCTATTTTATCACAAAATTTTGCGGATATTTTTTTGTAATGATGTTAGCTGGCTAATAATCTGCATACATAAAAAAAATAAAATTACCAATTTAGGTAGTAAACGGCTAACATCACTAATAAATGACAATTTTTGCGATATCCTGAGGCAGTGTTGTGCCAATAAAATTTCATTGGAGCATTCTAATAAATTTCAATTGGAACATTCCAAATGTGATTCCAATGAAGTTAACCAATGAAATTCAATTACAGTGTCATACACACAAATTTTATTGGTTGATATTGATTGAAGATCTACATTGGAACATTCCAACAGCATTACAATGTTCCAATTGCACAACACTGTTCTGAGAGGACCCCGAACAATCTTAGGAGATGGTACATTTGAAAAAAGTACCACTTTATTACCATTTTTGGAAATAATTTACAAGATCATCGCAAAATTTATCCTAATTAAGAAGTGATATTCGATTTTGAGGGCCATTTCTACCCAAAATTGAAATGTACCATCTCCTAAGATTGTTCGGGGTCCTGTTCTGAAGTTTCACAAAATTTGCGGATATTTTTTACATGATTATGCCAAATCTGCTCTAATTGTTTGTTCATCTTGTGAATTAACCGCTTTTTAACATCAAGATTTCTCACTTGGAGAAAATGAAGGCTCAATGTTTTCATATTCTGTAAAATGTTATGATAAGAATTTTTTACTTGATAAAAAGGCTGCCGTATTTTATTACATATGTAAAGAATATGTTATGATGTTTTAGCTAAAGTTTTATTGAAAATATTTTAGGATGTCTAAAATCATAATCATAAATAAAAGAACAAGTTTTTGGCTATTTTAAATATTATTTAAGGATATTTAATAACTTTAACATGACTCACACCATCAATATCCAGGCGATGTAAATATGATTGGTCAAACAAAATATTTTAATGAGAGTAATAGTAAGTCATAATTTTTATTTAAAAAAAAGATCAATCTAGTTACACAACTGCCAACTTTAATTAGAAAAACAATGCAGTTAATTATAAGATAATCTTTTGGATCTTAAAATAAATAATTTTTTATTTTATAAATAAGCAACGTTTTTCTTTAAAAATGGATTTTTTTTTTAAAAAAATTATTTTTCAAGAAAAAAAAAACAACCACAATACAAATAATAAAAATACAATAAAATGGCAACAACTAACGGTCATAGCGATGAAAATAAGACTTTACACACAAATAGTAATGGTAATAACCACAATCACATCAGCAATAACAACGCAATAACTAATCCATATACACCAAGATATGCTGATTTATTAAGTAGAGTTAGTAATTTTTCCATTATCGAATCAACTCTTAGAGGTTAGTTTTAGTTATTATTATTATTAACATTAATATTGTTATTATTGTTATCATTGTTATTAATATTAATATTAATTATCATTTTATTTAGAGGGAGAACAATTTGCGAATGCATTTTTTGATACAGCGAAAAAAATAGAAATCGCTAAATCATTAGATACATTTGGAGTAGAATATATCGAATTAACATCACCGGCTGCATCTGAACAATCAAGACAAGATTGTCAAGAAATTTGTAATTTAGGATTGAAGGCAAAAATATTAACTCATATACGGTGTCATATGGATGATGCTAAAATTGCTGTTG